GCACCACGTGGAGATAAGTCTATCGCACACCCCGGAGGTGGGAGAATAAAATCAAATAAACAAGAGTGGCAATTCATTTGTTATTATTTTAGGATTTAATTTGTGTTGGCATTGTCTAAATACTTATTTTCTAATTTCACTACTCGCACCTCGAAATACTGAGCGAATATGTATCCTCAGCACGACCACACTTTCCAAAAGACAAAACACTGGAATATTATCATTTTTCATTTCGTAATGTATGATTAAGTCCTCAAATCGAATAAAAGTAGCCATGGTGTTTTTCAAAATTGTGAAACTATGCAACGCGTTCTTCCTTATTTTTATCATATAATTAGTATTTGATGGATGGATTTCCAAGAAATTTACTCCTAGTGTGCTAAATTAGGAAATCCACTTCCAAATGATGCGTATTCTTACTTGTGATCAATCATCATTAACAAAAATGATATCTGTTTGCTACTCAGAACGTAGTCAAACTCAGATGACTGACTGAGCTAGATGGGTCATTATTTTTCACCAAGGGTGCATTTATTGCCAGTATCTATTGTTTGCAGGACGTATTTTATGCTCGGAGCATTCGCATTTCATCCTATCCACCAATGTGAGAAAATTGAGATTTTTTTCATATATATTATAGAAAATAAACCCTGGGTATTTTTAGGCGTTGGTGCTTGTACACTATCAGAAGGTTAACCGATCTCTCCATTAACCAATTGGACGGTCGATATGATCAAGGTCACGGTTTGATTGGTAGTCAATTATAATCGTAGTTACGTGTTTAAGTATTAATAAAAATCAGTTAGATGTGGTTTCGCTTAAAGGATACAGTATCTACTAGTATTGATCCATCCTCCCCCTATTTTAATAAGTTAATGGGAATCTAAATCGCGGATGTAGTCTGATTGGTCAACGGAATAAACTGAGTCACAGATTACCTGCACGTGTTTATTAATAGTCTCATTCAGTGATTGGTACGGTGTTATAATAAATTAACTAGATGGCAGGTTTACTTTAATTTAATCCCTTACTTTTAGATGGCTCCTAGTTTGAGGATAACAGATCTTCCATGTTCACTGCCTCTTGAAATTTGCAGGCACTTAACTTCCATCGACCTACTTAACTTTTGTGATGCTTTCCCCCAGTGGAAACACCTTCTTTCAACCAGAACAGCTGCAGGGATTGTGAAGAGAGATATTCAGAATTGGACATGGATGGATAGAAAATCGTACGATCTAGTCTTTCCTAAGAAATCGACAGACCTAGATAAAAATCTAATTGAGGCGCTGTTGTATTATCAAGGTTATCATTTAAACATTGAAAAATTTAAAACAAAAAAACAGCGGAGTGATTATTCTATCTGCGAGAAACTCTTAGGTGAAAAATATCCCCCTGAGTTTAGAGTGACCTTGAATTTCAATTCCTCCACCGACTTCGATGACAGTATTATAGAAAGACTGCATTTTGAAGCTGACACTGTGGCAGCATTTACAATGGAAGGATATGATTTTCAAAATTTTCATTACTACAGATCCGTATTTTCGGCTAGGCGGCGTGAGCTGGAGAACAATGCATGCATCGTTTATTTTGCTCGATCAAACTGGCGTCAGAAGAGTGATATTGAAGCGATCTTTGCCGATGCAAAAACTAATCAAACCGTCCTCATTGCAATTGTGAAAGATGAGGCAAGACGTTTGAAGGGCTATAAAACCAATCTTGACTTTCTCAATGGATTTATCAATGAGGTACTTGGAGGGATGGAACAGTCGCCTCTGAAAAATTCAACTACCAATTGGTGTCTATGGTTGGTAGAGGAAAGGGAATCGAAATACGTGGACGCCATGCAAATCTATAAGAGAGCATGCTACGAAATTGTCAAAAATTTTATCAAATAAGTAGTCCTGAATAAGCTAATTCTTTTTTATCTTTACTTTCACAAATATTCCCACTTTCATGGATGTCCTATAATTCATCATGTATAAATCAATTTACTTCTCTTGGAATTTATCCTTGTTATATATAAAGGGTTTTAATGGTTAATTAATTAATTTTTACTATTTTGGCTGAAATTTCCTTTTCCATAAGTCGTTATAAGGTGACTTCAAAAGAAATGCATTGTCCATAATTTACTTTAATTAAAGATGAGTATTCAAGAGAACTATTCCAACTAATTTTCGCACATTACTGTTATTCTAAGCCCCATTTATGAGTTCAAAATCAGTACACAAACTCATGAATAGGCATTTCCAATAATAATACAGGTTTAAAATTAACTGAAACTATGATTTTTAGCAGGACCTGTAAAAGCATGTTCTGCAGATAATATTTGTGAAATCGTTCTTGGCCTAAATTAATTTTCCTTGGTTGTGGTCACTGAAGCAGAGAGTAAACTTTAAGGTCACGGGGTTAAAGATCCATTTGATGCAAACATGGCCTTAGTATAGAGAACACATATTTCTCCTAAAAAAACATAGACACGCAAAGATTCGGGATTCATTGAGTATATCCATTACATTCAATTTTTAGAGGCGAACTATTTTCTCTACTTTAATGTGCGCTTACGTCAAAGCAATGGAAGGGAATAAACTATCACATTTTCATCGAGTTGAAAAGGCGTAATCCAAAAAAAACATTGCCCTAAATACGTCTGCTGTAGATGAACAGTAAATTGGACATTGTTTTATCTCGCGGTCAAATGGGGTGTGTGATAGACTTACCACCACGCGGTGCACCCTGGGCATCGTATACTCATACGGCAAAAGTCTATCAACAGGCAGTTGACTTCTGACTTCAAATTACTATGGCCGATTGAATCTCATCTTCGACCACTTTCACAGTACTTACCTTGCATTTTCTCTGCTTTTGTGTCTGTTTGTTTCTTACATCAGTGAATCACTCTTCTGTTCCCCACTCCTCGACTTTCTGTTACTTTGATGTACCTTCCCCTCTGTGAAGCCTGAAGTCAACTAAAGGGCTAATGATAACTATCAAAACACCTGCCATTTGATATAAATAAGTCTCTCGGTCAAATATATGGGGTGTCCCAAAATTATTATATTGTAACCGGTCCCATTATCTTGAGCATTTTGCAGCAATCTGTAATGTCAAGCATTAGAGAAGACTTTGAAGATGAAGGGCTTTATTTTCAGCAAAATGGGGCACCCCCCCCCCCCCCCCCCCCACATTATCATCGGGATGTTAGGTATTTTCTTGACGAGGTCATGTCGAACAGGTGGATTGGACGAAGAGGTTTTGTTGAATACTCGCCTCGTTCGCTAGAGCTCACACCGCTAAATTTTTTCTTATGAGGATACTTGAAGGACAAAGTCGACGCTACGAAACCTGCAACAATCACTGGAGTGTCAATTCGACCAATTCCCAAGGGAATTATTTCATGATATGTGTGGCTCCATTGCTTGGCGTTATCAACAGTGTCTGGTCCAAAATGGAAGTCAGTTTAAGAACCAACAGGGAAAAAGCAATAAAATTTTACTTCTAAATAATTTTTACTCTTTTGGAATAATAAAATTCTATTTTAAGGCATCAGTTGCAGCTAGTTTCAATATGTCTACATATTTTTGAGGCAATTATCGTGGTAAACAATATAGTCCTTAGCCTTTGTCACATATTCAAACCCTATTTTAGAATTAAAAGGTCTTCAACCTACTGTTTCTTCTTCCTGGAATTTGAGTAATTGAAATTAACACCCTAATTATTCCAACTTATTCACAAAATACTAAAACCCATGGTCTCTTTCACCGCCAATTCACTATCCAAACTGTTTGTTGACTAACCTTAGCAGTTGGTGAATACATAGATGTGTAGAAAATTCTGACATCTGGAATGAGAGTTTCACAGGGTGACTAAGTGCTTCTTTTATTTAGTTCAAGTTGGAACTAAATAATTGCCACGTAAATAGAAAGCAGACGTGGCGGGCGTCGCTGCATTGCAACCCCATTGCAGGACATATTGAGGCTTCGTGTACACACGCTTGAAGCCTTTGAAATTCATCACCTTCACGTCAAGTATTTGCAGACAGTCGGGTAGTAAAGGAAGAGAGCATCTAAAATGACCCAAGCAACCCTGGGGGGGGGGGG